TTGGAACAGTTTGGAACTGGAACAGGTTTCTTGGAACAGGTATCTTTTAAAACTGGAACAGCTTGTACCTGTTATTAAAAAATCGCTGTTCCGGCCATGACTATTATGTTATATGTAAATTTATATGGGAGATGTCATCGATCGTCATTTTCAAGCCAACTGGACGCCGATTTTTCTCGATCATATTCTTATACTCACACAACACACAAAACATTTCGGAATTTTACAATTCTCATTAAATCTGAAAAACCAATGTGTATATACATCCTATTTTGATTGAATAATAATTTCACTAATAATACTTAAGCACACAAAAAAGTGTTAAATGAGAGTTAAACAATTTAAATTTGTGGCTATATAATTATGCATATGTGTACTGAAATAATCAGGGATATCGAGAACCAAGAGTAAATATTTCATAAACTTATTACCGCCTAAAAACTGGAAGAATAACTCATTGATAGTTACGTTGCGATAATACTAACGTTTCATAAAACTATGTTTATTGTCAAAATAAAGAAGATTAAAATATAAATACCCACGGAATATTGAGACATCCTATAGTGTATAATAAAACTTATTAAAATGAAATTTAGAAAACGTTAAAGTACATGCAATCCATCTTCAAATTTCATTTTTAAGAAAGTCGCACATAATGAATTGTTTTTCCTTAAAGGCTAAAAACTAATATAATCTTATTAACCCCCTCTCCCCCCCACAACTGATCTACAAAATGCAAAATACTAATAAAAATTTCTAACGATGTTCTCAAGCAACTAATTGAATAAAGTGAAAAACTATCGAACAAAGCCTTGTCTTAGATACTTCTAATTAAAAATCAAAAAACTCATTATCTCTTTGTAATATCTTCAACACTTTTATTGGCAAAAAATCAACTGCATGTTATTTGGTATTCCACGCAAATAAATGAATAAAACGATTCCTTTGTAACATTTGATTTAGTAAATAAGTTGTTGCTAATATAAGTATATCAACATATTGCACTGAAGTACACATATCACGTTTGAAATAAACGGTAAAATAGTTATTATGTAAAGGCGTCGCAATTTTCTGACCTGTTTTTCACGAAAGTGAAAACATATTTAAATGCAACGCTAAATGAATATTTTTGTGGTTTTTCTTCCCATCAAATTAAGAAGATTAAATAAAGCATTTCTACTGAAAGGCGACTATTATTGACAATAACTATTTTTAGTCGATATTCACACATTGTATTGGTTACATGTTGACATGCAATTTTAGTCATCAGAATTGATTATTTAAATAATGAATGATGATTGACAATTGAAAGTAATATATCTTTATAGAGGTACCCACACATGCAATCAAATAATCGGCCGATTAAATAGTAGATTTGAGAAAAACTGCGATTCTCCCATCGCAATTGAAACAGCCATTGCGATTTTTAAACAGCAGCGACTGTAACCTGCGATTGTGATTTTAATAGTTAAATATATTGTACTAAGTATATAATTGTCTGTGTATAGCTTAAGAGTTCAAAAGAGTTAATAATAATCAATAGTTTATTTTTTAAGTTTTTTTTAACATCTGCAATACATTATAGGTATTAAAAATTTATATATACTGCAACCCCCCTAAAATCTATAATTTGGGTTGAATATTAGGCTTTTGTGTTAAAAATGGTGCATATTCTACATTACTTTTTTATTTGCCGCCTCTGGCTGCAACTATTGCCAACTACACATGACATACCTACTCTTTTTACAGTTCTCAATTATCAAATTCTTTACCCAATTCTTAAAACATGCTAATGAGTCACTCTCGTTCCATTTGAAAAAATTGCGATATGATTAAAAATACGCTGGACATTTTTTTAACTTTGGACATCTTTTAACTAGCCAGGAGAAGACACGAAAAACAACAGACCATCAATCTATTTTTCCAAGGCATCTTGATTGCAAATTAGTGTTTTTAACACAGCCCGGACATTCTAGATTGAAATTTAAAATACGATTTTTTAAGCGAAAATGTCAAAAGCTGCCATATGATATGCAATTCTATTCAGACTGTCATTTGGACTGTCGAATAAAGTAAAAAAATACCGAGGGTGGCATTTAAAAATCACAAGTTGTAGTCATTTCTAGTGAAACAGGAAGTGGCCAAAAACGATTGAATACGTCAATCAATCCTAATTTATGTTATATACTAACATACCAAACCTAGTTTTTTTTATCAGAAATAATAAAAAAGTTATAGGAGTGAACAATTCTTGAGAAACACCCGGTATATTATGATCGTGGCCATAGAGTTAAAAAATATCGTGGCCCGAGAAAATAATACCTTCTTTCCAGGATTCTTTGAACGAACGAACCGTGGAAACGAACGAGTCGCATTGTGATCCGATTCAATACTTACGATCCTTTTTCGTTCAAATTTTATGGAACCGTGCTGGCCACAATTCAATTGAATGAACCGTATTTTAAAACCGGTCCTACACGATGCTTCCAACGATGAACGCATCATTTGGCATAGACTTCGACAATGTTGCAATTCACAAGTGTGTCTCGTACACGATGTGGCAAATGTTCATGTGTCTATTGGTGCGTTTAGACTTGAACACGCACGCACTGATCCTCCGCGAATGCTCAAGTGTAAACGGCTGTGCGCGAACGCCCACTCCGAATCTGACTGTGCGCGAGCAGCCGCGAAAGTGAGCCGTCTGGTGTCGGTTTTTGGTCCGTGCTCAAAGGGATTTTATGTGTGCGCGAACGCTCAATTTGCACCGGCAATTTGTTTTGTCTGCGTTCGTGCGTGCGTGTGTGATTTTTTTTCGTTTTCTTTATTAAAATTATGGAGTGGATCAATGAATCTTCCTTATTATTAATTGAAAAATATGAAAAGTTGCCTATATTATGGAATGTTAAACATTCTTTGTATTATTAAAAAATAAAAAAAAAATATATAACGCCTGGCAAAACCTTGTAAATAAAATTAATATTGAATATGTCGATATTAATGAAATCGCTATTCTAAAATTTGTATTTTTTGTTCTTAATTTTTGGTGCTATTAAATTTTGTAAATATTCAAAGTCGGGCCTGGTCATTCTCGTAAAGTTTTTGAACTGATCTCATAGCCCTCCTCAGACACTAAGTTGTTGCAGTAAATTATATCGATTTCTAAAAATTTGGGTTTGCCACCAGCGACGATGTTTTCGATTTTTCTCCTTTTTAATAATTAAGTTGTGCATAACAATGACTGCAGCCTCGACTATTTCTTGGTCGTCCATTATTTTCGCCAACACAACTCTGCTGTGCGCGCACAACGGAGCCGAGAGCGCGAACGAATGCCGTGCGCGCACGCTCAGCTCGTGCGTGCTCAAGTCTAAACGCACCAACGTTGGAAGGTTTTTGACATCGTGTAGGACCGGCTTAAGCGAAGAATAGAATCTCACGATTTATTTTTAATACTTGTTCAAATGATCAAATGAACGACTCGTTCAATATTGTAACGTATACTTTTTAACTTGTCTGCGCTCACTAGAAGCAACTTTAAATTAAAATTTCTTTTAGATATTATATTTTCTAGTGGTGTAATAGTAGTACCTACTAAATATATGCTAAGAAAGCACATTTTTTGAAATTTAATATGTCTCTACGATGTTTATAAGTTTAGGAAATAGATAACGAGAAAAATTGGAATAATAAGACATCTTTAATCCTACATGAAATTTATACTGTATTTTAATAAACGTTAATTTGTTACGGAATGTATTCATTATTAGGTTTTTATGCCTTATTTGCCTTCTTTTTTCTATCATTAAAATCTATTTTTGTAATGATAAATTGGTTTGGTTTTTTGTGCTAGTTTTGTAATTGAAACCCCTGTAAAGTAGGTAAATATGTAATTTTTGAAATGAAACTTCTTTACGCGCGCTGGTATTAAAAATTCAAGGCTGTGACACACGGGCTAGCGTCTCGACACTCGAGGCGATAAGTCACACGACATACGTCACGAAAAGTGGTAACGATCGAAAAAGTGATAAGCCAATTAGGTAGTTGAGTTGGGTCTTTGGAGCATCGTAACTCGGGCCCTATGTGAGCTAGGGGGATGAACCTCGGAATGCAGATATATAATTTTTCATGATATTTTGACGACGTTATATCCACTATGAAACCCCATCATCAATGGCAAAAAAATCGTCCGATTTAAATGAAATTTGGTACCTGTGTCGATAGATTGGACCAAGGCCAACTTGACCGTGTAAGACGCGTATCACGGTGACAGTTATTTTGACGTAAGAAACGTCAAACGTTGTTGCCGTCCGATCGCGATCAAATTTGGTGTGTAGGGTATGTGAGCAAGGATGCACACGGTCTCACCCTGCAAAGTTGCATACGACGTTTCGTTTACATTTTCATCAGGGTGGCACTAAGGATTTAATATTGAAAAAAAATGTAGGCCAATTCAGCATAATTGGGGACGGGCTACATGATGGCGCTCTCGACGTTCCGAACCGATGCCTCTAAATGGACTTAATTATGGGTTGATTGGAACTAAACTCGGCAAGTGGATAGAGGTACCCGAATAAAGTCTTGAGACGGACAGATAGACAGATAGACAGACGGATATTTAAATACAAATTTTGTGAAAGTGAATCAAATTATTTATTAATTTTAAATTTATTATTTTTTCAACATGTTAAACTTCACTTTGTCAAATATGTCCTTCAAATCCTTCAATTTAATAGCTGTTGGTAAGAAGTTCACTTCAAATATGCGCACATAGGGCACACACAACTTTTTTACATATTTTCTATTTTACAGGCTTTTCTAATGGTCGTCTGACCAAATCTACACATCACCTGACTTTCTCTGTTAACTGCAGACTAATTTATATTCCTATTATGACCAAAGTACTAAAGAGCAATATATTATTTTATTTCGATCTCGGATTTTTGATAATGACGCCAAAAAAACACAAATTTTCTAGTTAATATATTTTCTTTAATTGGTTTCAGTGTACGATTCGACTGCAAAAATTCCATCCGGAATTCTAAACGGAAACATAAACCAACTTGGAGATTTCGATATGTGTTTGGCGGCACTTTCAGAAGACGAGAAAATTAAAGGACAGTACTGTTTAGCTTCTTTGGAAGTTAGCGTACCGCAGAGCCCATACCTGACGGGTCTTCACAAGCTAATGCAGTCTCATTACCACTTCAAAAGTAAACTGGAAGATGTAAGTAACTTTTTAAAACAGTACCTGTATTTATGTAACGTACCGGGTGTTTGGTAACTCGAACTCAGTAAGAGATATATATGGTGGTTCAAATTAGTGATAATAATAATTTATTAATTATTTAGTAATTGGACTTATATTTCGTAGCAATATAATAGCAGAGAAACGGAAATTACTAATTTTCGTTTAGAATTTTTTAAGTTTCATATTAACAGTTAATACATTTTCAAAGGCACATTTTAAGCTTGAAGAGCATGCCATCTTTTAGTCACTTAGAATGCAATTATTTAGAACTAGCATCAGCTTTAGATTTTTATATAAGCGTTATATTTTTTCGGATCTGTTGTGGTTCTCTTCTGATCTTTAGGTTTCATACTCGCGTCCTTAACAAACAGTCTAATAATTTGGAGACTAAAGGCTTATCATTGCCTAATAAAAAGAATCGTACATTTACGAGACGCACTGATATAAATGATGATTGATTAATACAATCTGCACATAGTATGGCTTAGTTTTAGATGGCCTAATGAGCTTGCAGGACTCAGTTTTTCTGTCTTTGCTTTCTGTCTTTGGACTCAGTTTTTCTGTCTTGTTTATTTAGTGTTCTACTATAAACTTTTATGACTCTGTCTGACCTGGTAAATGTTTCCACCATTCTAGAGATTTCTTGTAGAATGTAGAATTAGTAGGAGGTTAATCATTGCGACTTTGCGAAAATATATTGTGTCCCCTTTTCTTGAGTTATAACTCATCATATAGTGAGTCTATAACTTTTTCCCCCGTACTCTTCATAGTCGAGAAGCTTGCCTCCGGCTGAGGTACCCTTGAGGTGGAGGTTGGAGGATTTGTCTACATTTTTTCCACCTTTTTAGCTTAGAACTGATCTTTTTGAACGGTATTGTCCCGTATTTATTATAGAGGATATATCTCTCTTTCTCCATTGCCTCCTTAGATTTGAGATCAATTCCTGTTGCGAGGGCCTGACCATGGCCCTCCTCCCTCGAGTTGAGTTGATGACTCGTCAACTCAATGTCCTTACATTGGAGTCTAACAAAGCTAGTGATACGTGCAAAGATAAGTGGTACGGAGATTAGCCAGGCTGCTTCTTGGTTTCTTTACTCTCCTCTTTTTTGAGAAGGGTTTTTGCTTTTACTTCTTCTGGAACAAATCATTCGTGGAGCAGTCGGAGGTATCTCCGTACTCCTGCTCCGCTGAGATATACTCTAATTAATAGAGTTTTCTAGACAAGTCATCTTTATTTAACAATTTGTCGCTACTGAAGAATATATACCAAATATCAAATATTGTTAAGCAAATATGAAATATTTCCGCAAATGTGAAATATATCCTAGATATCAGCAAATAGGAATCTTAAAAACATAAAAACTGAATTAAATTTGGCCTTCGGCTGTACAAATGTTCATATTTGCTACATAAATATTATAATTTAGAACAAATACAATATTCCGGAACTATATTTTAGAGCTAAAATGACATACACATTTTATTTGAATAAAAAGTAGGTAGTTTGAATTATAACCGTCTTTCTGTACTATTCATTGATAAAAACTGAAGACAACATTGTTATACTGTTATACATTGATACTATATTCTTTATACGAAGCTTATACCAGTATATTCTGATACCAAAGTTTACAGAATAAAATATTGTAAACTTTGGTAGTATCTACAAAGAGCCATAAAAGTTAGACACAACCTAAAAAATTAAAAAAAATCTACCATTCACATTTTATTATTAGTTTCTGACATGTTTATTACCAAGATCATATAGATCCTTATTAGTGAATCTTGTAATTAGGTAGGCCTAAGAGATTAAAAACTGGTTTATTAAAAAATAAAGTGTTAATCGAGCTGCTTTTTTTTATGTAAAATAGAAGAATGTTCATTTTATTTTTTATAAGATAAATTATTATAAAATGAAGGTTGATACCGCCATACTACTTCTACAGTAATAGTAAAAAAAAATAAAAGAAATGGGCATTGCCTGCAACTAAAAAAGTAACCAAAATGTAAATAAATAATTAATAATTAATTTAGTCATTCTAAAAATAGTAACTTATTTGAATATCGTTTCAGCACGTTTCAGTCTAAACAAAAAAAACTTGTTTTCTTTTTTATTGTGATTTTGTTCTGAATCAATCAAATCCATTAATTTTATGTTATTAAGGATATAATTATCCACACGTGTTTTTCGTTATAAAAATTTTTTGCATAATTTATTCCCATCAAATTCTTTGTTTTTAGTTCTTATTTCGGAATGTCCTTGGATTCGTATTGCAAAAAATATATTCAGAAAAAATTTGTGAGAATTTTAATGTCCATGAATATTTTCAAAATTATAATACATACTCCCGGTTTCTCCACCAATTTTAAATAGCACACTATGAATTATGGCACGTTTAAAATTTTTAACTTAATCTTCTCACAAAAAAAAAACAAAAAATAACAAAGCCGGTGGACCAGATGAAAATCCTACAGAAATCCTTAAACTCCTAGATGAAAGAGGCATCACAACACTTCATAAAGTATTCAACACTTATCAGCCTGATGAGCCTTACTCTAGAATGAATGTAGAATGTAGAATGAGTAAGAGGGGGGTTAATCACTGTACCCTCTTCCTCCGAGGGTACACACCCTTCCACGGTTGGAGTTTGGCCCTCCGCGCCGCCCTTCACAGTCGTCGAGGATCTTGCCTCCGGCTGCGGAACCCGTGAGGTGGAGGCTAGAGGATCTGCCTCCATTTTCTCCACCTCTTTAACTTGGTCTCTCCTTAGACCTGATACCGATATTGTCCCGTATCTATAATAGAAGATATGTCCCCCTTTCTCTATGGCCTCCTTGGATTTGAGGTCAATTCCTATTGTGAGGACCTGACCATGACCATCCTCCCTCGAGTTGATGACTCACCAACTCGATGTCCTTACATTAAAGTTCTGACCCTGGATAAGGCTCAGCAGCTAGGTGGTGTCTTTCCCCTTGCTCCTCTGCAAAAAGACCGTGATGGCCGCCCCTTTAGAGATGTTTTCTCCATTCACTGCAACCAGTTCCGGACCTTCCCAATTTTTAAGCTTAGGTGCGATTTCCACCAACCAATTCGCCGATTCTTAAGATACAAAATCTATGAGGATCATGCCCACCCGAAAGTGTATCCCCGCAAAACGCAGCTGACCCACATTTTGTAGATGGTTCTGTTGCGATCCGATCGCCACTACTTCGTCCAGTATAGCCTCTTCTATAGACGTTTGTTGGTCGGGGGTCAGAGCAACCTCTGTGAAAGCCTTTGGCAGCACCGCCATTTTCACTTGTCCAGCAATAGCGCAAAGCTGGTGATACGTCCCTGCTTGCCTCCCGGTATTGGACGGCTTTCCATCCTGGCTTTTTTCTCTCCCTGCCGGAGAAGAGGTGAGAGGTTCTCGCTTCCTCTCTTGCCCTTTGATGGAGATGAGTCAGGTTGTTTCTTGGTCTTTACTCTCCCCTTTTCGGAGGAATGTTTTCGCTTTTGCTTCCTCTGGAGCAAGTTCTTCGTGGAGCAGTCGGAGGTATCTCCGTGCTTCTGCTCCGCTAAGACCTACTCTCAGAGGATCGTCTAGCCCGCCTGGTTGGCCCAGGCCAGGTAGACGAAACGGATGCTTATGTCGCTTATTGGGTCTAGAGCCTCTAGAGTCCTCTGTCTAGCCACGCATCCCTTTAACCTGGTCCCGCCATCGTAGGGTTTAGGTTTTTGGTGAGGTTGTCTCCTCTTGGTGCAGGCAGTTAAGCCAAGAAAACCCCCACACCTTCTACCCACGAGACATGACCACAGTTGGTAGAGGGTGCCTGGTATGACGGACAGGGGTAGCCCCGTCCGGCATCGTTATATGTCTTGGTGCAATTTCCTGGCCACGACACTACAGCCAGGAACAAGACGATGAGTGAGATGCTTGTTAGACTAAGCCAAGCGCTAGGGGGATTCCCCCCCAGCACCTGACCAGGAGAGACCAACGACAAGGTCTTGCATCTCCTAGGGGAAAGAGCCTTACCCTAAAAATATTTCTAAAATCATATATATATTAGTCGGTTTAGAACGTCTTTCTACGTTGTCCCATACCCAATTTCCAGCCTGTTCTATTCGTACAATCCTCTGCACACAGGTTTCTTTCACTCAGCGCTTTGTGTACGCTTTTTGCCATTCCAGTTTCGGTCTTCCCTGTTTTCTTCTGCCTTTTGGTTGCCAATTGATTATTTTCTTGGGCCATCTAGTGTCCTTCATTCGCTCTACATGTCCGTACCAGATCAGCTGCTTTTTCTCTATATCCTGTGTTATCGTATCTTCTATACCCATTTGTTGTTTTATGGTATTATTTCTTATTCGTTGTTGTCTTGAAATTCCCATTAATCTTCGAATGACATCCATTTCTTCGGCCTCTATCCTCTTCTTGTATCTCTCAGTTATTCTTCATGTTTCTGCTCCATACAGGAGGTTGCTCTTTGTCATGGTTTCATATATATTGAATTTTCTTCGCTTTATTATTGATTTGCTCCATAAGATTCCATTTAGACATCCGATTATTTTTTTCGCGTTGATAATCCTTTTTTCTATTTCTCTGACGTCAGTTCCAGTGTTATCAAATGTAATTCCCAGGTACTCATACTCTTGACACTGCTTAATTTCGTGACCGTTGTCAAAGTTCAAGTTTCCTTCTTGTGCGCCTATACATAGATATTTTGTTTTGGCTATGTTATCTGTCAAGCCCCATTCTCCGTATTCTTCAATAAGTTTTCTTAGCATATATTGCATATCATCTTTGTCATTGGCAACTATTATTTGATCGTCTGCGAATTGAAGTGTGAACAAACATTCATTGTCAATCTCTATGCTTATACCACGGATTTTTCTTTTCCAATTTTTTAAAGCGACTGCAACGTATATTTTAAAGAGAGTAGGGGAGATGCAACAACCTTGACGCAAGCCTTTGTCGGTTATAAATATTTCTGTAAGC